GACAGCTTCCTTGTGTAGTAATTGAACCCTTAATTTTAGAAGATGTAATATATTTGAGACTTGGTTTGAGCTAAAACCCATGGCCACAAATAGTAAGTGGACAAATAAATAATAATGGTTATATCTGAGAGAGAGACTACTTGTGAAAGTGGGCTATTTAAATTACAGGTCCAGGCATACGTGTATTGTGGATGACTGGGATGCTACCCTGAAATTTAAAATGTGAATTAACTTGCTGCTCCTCTCTGAATGCTGAACAGGAGTGACACTGCTAATCTGCTTTGTATTCCTGTGTTTCATAGAATCATAGAGTAGTTTGCATTGGAAGGGACCTTTACAGGTCATGTAGTCCGTCCTTCCCTCTGTGATGAGCAGGGGCATCTTCAACTAGACCAAGTTGCTCAGAGCCCCATTCAACCTGACCTGCAATCTTTCCAGGGATGGGGCATCTACCACCTCTCCGGACAACCTGTGCCAGTGGTTCACTATCCTCATTGTAAAATTCTTCCTTAGATCTAGTGTAAATCTACCCTCTTTTAGTTTAAAACCGTTACCCCTTGTCCTGTCACAGCAGGCTCTGCTAAAAAGTCTGTCCCCATCTTTCTTATGAACCCTCCTTTGGGTACTGGAAGGCTGCAGTCAGGTTTCCCTGGAGCCTTCTCCAGGGCGAACAACCTCAACTCTCTCAGCCTGTCCTCATAGGAGAGGTGTTCCATCCCTCTGAACATCAAAAGGGGGTAGTGATGGTGTTCTTTGGGTTCCTTTGTGGAAGAGCTATCCTTCCCATATCCTGGAGGTAAAGTTAGTGACATTCACAAATTTCACAGTTGCTCTCTGTCTGTATTTTTTGCTTCTGAACTGAAATGAACTGTGGTCACTGAGGATCAGCGCAAAATTGTTAGCTAGAGAATTTTTTTAGTAGCAGCACATTTAGGTTTATAACTGTACCAGGAATATTTGTGTCACAAACAAAAATTTCCCTTTACTGAAATGAGTGTAGAGAGGCCAACAGTTTATCACAGTGCACTGCAGGAGTCCCTGGTTTGGTAGGGGCTGCAAGCACCAGGTATTCCTGCTTTACTCTGATGTCCCTTGTCTGCACCCTGAAGTACACCTTTTTCTCCACCTAGAAATTCTGTCCAGGTTCTAATTGAAAAACTGAAATGTTAGCCTTAAAAGGAGAAGTGGCAGCCACATTTTAAAAGGACTTTAGGTACTTACAGCCTCAAATAGCTGCCTACTAAGATTTCTTAAGAATATTTTTGTGCTTAACCCCTATTACTTTTAGCCACCTAAGAATTTTTTTTAAAAGTCTGTATCTATGGGAACCTTTTGAAGTTCAGCAAGGGTAAATCTGAAGGAACAGTGGAATGTGAAATGGGACAAATTTCTAATTTGAAAACTTTGTTCTTTCAATCTTATTTGAGATTTGTCTGTGTACCTGCCTTTGCACTTCCAACTGATGTAATATGAAATAAACCTGTGTAGTGCAAAATACTCTGAGAATGTTTCATTCATTTTTGCTGCAAGTGCTACATGGGGGGGCGGGGGGGAAACCAAAAACCCCCCACCCCAGGAAAAAAAAGTAAAGCCTTGAAAAATGAGGTTCACAGCATTGTTTTCAAAGCCTTGAAGACAGCATCTCATGAAAGCTGTCTGAATACTTGCATCGAGTATTTCAGTAGTTTTTCAGTAAGAATTTAATATGAAGTTATGCTGTAATTGTAAGTCCACACATCTTTGAATTCCATATTTAGAGACAAAGTTTGAATTTAAATGGATCTTAAAGGAGCATCTGAGATTTTGCCTGACAAGGTGTCCCCTAGTGTAAAGGGATATTGTTTTCTGTTCCTTCCTGCCTCCCAAATAACAGTGCAGAGGACACTGCCAGGCTGTTACAGTATTTGGGCTTTGCCTGCTACCCCCATCATATTTACTAATAGAGATTTGTATTCATAATTTAGCTGATGATTCATTTTCCAGTATGTAGCTGAATACTTCTAGCTCATTTGGCAGTATGTGTGTTGGCGTAGCAGTCATCATGGAAACAAAATGTATGTGCTTGTATTTGGATCTTGTGACAGATGTGTAATATAAAGGAGGTACCCCTTTGGCATGGGCACTTCCCTGGCTTTGCCCACATTTTAAGTGTTCCCTGGTTATGATCTGTGATCATGGCTCATACTGATCTTTATCTGCCTTTTCAGAATGAAAATAGCACCATTCTGTTTTCCTTTTTTTCTTCTTTTGATGTTGCAGAGAGTGCAGCATTGTACAAACACTGTGGAAATAGAACTTTATAATATACTTTTTCTCAACTGCCATATTGGTTCTGAAAACAGTTTGTAACTGTCTATCTCCATTTGGCAGCTGAAAAGTAGAGGTTTGCAACCAAGACTTTAGAATGTGCAGGCCTCAATTTCTGTGCAGTCAAGTGTGTTTAAATTATTCTACATGACTAAGTATATAGGGAACAAAAAGGTAAAGATAAGAGGAAATACATACTTTTCACCCTCTGCCTTTTTTTTTTTTTGGTGGAATTTCAAGCAAAATAACATGACCTGCAGAGTAGCCTTAAGTCTTTCATGTGCCTGTATATTAAATATTAAGAGCTTGCTAAGATGTGTGTATGGTTTGCCCTCAAAACAGGGTTTAACTACTCTTTTTTGGAAAGTTAATTTGCTGAATAAAATTCCTGCTTCTGAGGAAGAAACAGTTTCTCTCCATTTCTCATTTAAAGGATAACTTTGCTGAGAAATTTCAACTAGCCTCCTTCATTTCTGCATTTTTGTCAATATTAAAGCTACAGCATCAAACAGCTGGAATGAGTATTGGGATGCTGTGTCTCAGTTTTAGCTATTCTTCTCCCCTTGTGCAGGCAGAGGAGGGTGAATACACGAGCAAGTCTGAGGACAGAAGGGCCTGGAAGGGAGGAGACACAGCAGCAACTTCACTGCTTGTTTCCTTTTACCTTACACAAATGTGGCCATGCAAACACCACGCATTAAACAGACACACTAAAAATTGCTACAATAAAACTTGATAATGGGGATATTGAGCTGTCTTTGTAAGTTAAATTCTGGCTGTGGTTAATTAAGTAAAAATGCTGCTCCAACCATTTTATCTTGGGTGCCTTATTATTAAAAGAAGGGAAATGATAGGAGGAAATAAAACTCTCTTACTTCTTTACTTGCTGGAGCATTTATTTCCCCTTGTCCATATGTGTATTGCAAGAACACCAAGCATAACAAATAGTGTTTGCATTTAGTTCTGAATACAGTGAGGTCCACAATCACTCTTACCTTTGTGAAAGCAAGCTCCAAAGCCTGTCTGGCTGCCCAAAGAGTTCGTATTTCTGCAGGTGTGATGGATGGGTTCGTTGTTCTAAGGAAGCATGGCTGGTGTTGGAGGTTGTGGTCAGAGAAGGAGAGAGGCAATCCATCTTCATGAGGGGCAGTTCTATGGAGGCCTTGAATGCTACGGCAGAGATGTAGCATTTCATTTTTTATTTGCTGTAGAGGGCCAGTGCAGAGACAGTACCTTGTTTTACAGGGTGGGTTGGGTTTTTTTTTTTATTACAAAGAAGGTGGGAGCTGTATCCTGTACAAACTTTAACCACTTTAGACGTTTTGGCTTAGTTCCCAAGTGTAGCGAGTCTGAAGGTTGCAAATGCATGTATTTCTATGGCCAGATCTCTGATCAGACAGGGAAATCAAACCTCTGGCCATGCACAGATGGTGTTAGGCTTGTCTGTCTGAGCATCCTTAGGAACTGAGGTCTCACAGGCTGCATACTAACTAGCAGGCAGTGTCTGTAATCAAGGGAACATTATGGCCTAGGGAAATTCCTCAGAGCAATTCCCATCAATACAGATACATAGGTGTATATTTTAAGTACCTCTGAGGATCAGGAGCTTGCGTAGGGGCAGATCTTTTCATCGACCAGGCAAATTCTATAACTTGTATTCCCTCCTTTTTCTTTTTAGACTGCTTATAGACATTTGAGGTTGGTTGTGACAAGGGTAACTGAGCCCCTTCCGTTCAGATCAAGAAGCAGCAAATGAAGAATAACAACTTTTCTTCACTGAACTAGTCACAGTTGGAGTGCTGTACTATGGATATAGAACTAAACACATTACCAGTCTCCTTACACATCTGGTTTGTTTAACACTGGCTGTATTTAGGGTCTAAAAATGAGAATGTTTTAATTGATTAGCCTAAAGACTGAATGCTGCATATGTGGCTGATGTCTGTTTGAGGAGAACATAAAATGCTTTCACTAAGCATGAAGAATGCTAATTACCCTTTTCCCCTTTGCTACTCTTAGGCCTGTGGGAGACAGATGTTACTTAGCAAAAGGAGGGATGAACATAACTTCTTCTGGGCTCAGAAGAAATTAAAACGTGGAACACATCTGCTGTGGTTCACTGACATTGCTGTTCTTAGATTTGTTCTTTAAACAAACTTCTCTGAAAGGTGTCAGGAATCACCAGCAGTGTCGGTACAGAATCAAAACTAGGAAAGAGCTGTGTGTGCAACCAGAAAATTGGAAGTTTGATGCTTAGATTTTGAAAACCAGAATATATTGTATACCTGTTAACTGAACACCACATTCAGGAGTAAAATATGTAATGTGATCACAAATTTCTCTTTCTTGGTCTTGTTTCATTTGTTTAAGGCTTTGTTTAGTTTGACAGTTTCAAGCTGAACAGTTACAGATTTAAATATCTAAGGTAATGCAAGTGCAGGGATAGTTATAAATGTGCTTCCTTTTTGATTTGAAAAGTTTGGCTGTAGACTTGTCTCTTTTCAGCCCAATTCTTGTACTGTGTTCATCACCCTGGTATCTGAACAAACAGATTATCAAAAATTATCTGAATACACTCATTTAGAGGAGTGGAGGGCTTGCATGTACCAATATTTAGTTTATTTAAGGTTAAGATTTCTTTGAAAAAATTCTTAAAAGCAAACATTTTTGTTGTGTTCTTGTTTGTCTTGCAGGTTGATCCATCTTTGAAAGAAAAATTAAAACAGAATACTGTGACACTGGAATCTGAATATGAGGTAAAATAAATTCGTTGCTTGGGGCTCATAACCTTGGTTACCCTTGATTACCCTGGCCGCTGGTGGGTTGTATGTGTCCCTAACTAAAATTAGATCAGCCATCTGCCTTTGACTCACTGATGTCCAATAAAAACAAGGTTTTATGTAAAGAAAGGTTTTTGAACATGCAGTGCTTCTTTCTGAACACAGCTTTACTTTGATGTCCAAGTGCCAAGTACAGTGGTACAAATAGCACTGTTTCTGTGGTTAACCTAGTCTATAAATGTAGAGCTAATGTTGACCTTAGACGGAATATATATAAGTATATGTCACAACTTCTACTGCATGAGTTTTGATGATCTTTAGACCAAATTACAGAACAATGTGTTTGACATGCTTTCTGTTATTTCTTGCTTCTGAAACTTATGTGTATCTTTCAAACAACTGCTGGTTTCTTTTCACTATTTCAGAAAATTTCATAGAGAAGTATTTCACTTTCTTCAACAATGCATTTTCTTCAAACATTACTGAGCTCCAAAATGGCTGTTTTGGCCAGTTTAATATCCAAGGTTTCATAAATCTTCAGGCCTCCAAAAAGCCATGTTAGGAAAACTGGAAAAAGCCTCCCTGTATCTAGAAACAAATGATAAAGCTATTTAAGATAATTTTTAATGTTTTAAAATTACTAAAATGTCCAGCTAACACTTTATCTGTCTCTGTGGTCTTTATGCTGAACACAGGTTTTCTTTTTCTTCCCATACTACATTCCTGTCACAAGCCTTTGAAGAACTTGATTGCACCCATAGCTCTCATACTTAGGTGTCCAAATGGCAGTACATGGTCTTGCTAATAAAGCCTTCCTATTATATTACTCTTCTGTGATTTGTCTGAAATAAAAATAAAACTTTTTGTGTTATTACATGCCTAATTTCACAGAACATCTGCCTACCTGCCACGTTTGTGATAGTGTTTTACTGTTATTGCAAACAGTTTTGGGCTGTCCTGCTTCTACAAAGAACTGTGTTTTATGCTGTAGAGAGTAAAAAGATTGGATCCCAGAGTACATATGGAAAGCTCCAATGGAAACTCAAAACATCCAAATCCATTAAGTTCTGATTGCCTCTGGGATTGTTGTGTCTCTGACTTCCATAGAATATACTGTAAGGCTGCTCTGATTTATTTATGTGGAAGAACCACAAGCAGTAAAAACAACCACATCTCTCTGTTTAACTCACTTCCTAACCTCAGAATCAACTGTTCTGTATTCAGATCTGCCTTGCTTTCTCTCCAGAAGGTAAGTAAATAGTTGAAGGATAATATTTAAATGGCCATAATTGCATTAGCTTTATGGATAAATCAATGGGAATAAAATACAACTGGCAACAACATATTACAAGCCTACTTGGGTAATGAGGCTCCTTCCTGATGGACAGAAGTCACAGAAGCAATCTTATTTTTTTCTTCATCCAAACTGCACAGAACTCCCATGCTGAAATTCTTCCAGTATGTTAAAAAAAAAAGTAGTAGTAGTGTTTGGGTGTTGTGGGGAGCAGACCAGCTCAGCAAAACATGGATTTGCATTTCCACATGATGAAAATAGATTCAGACTATTGTTTTGAACTCTAATCTCAATGTATGCTTTACTATGGGCACCAACTTGGAAGCACTAGGCACATTAATTTCTTGCTTTAGTGACACTTGTGGAATTACCAGCAGTCATACACATACTTCGCAGGCTTTGCAGTGAGTGTGTGACACTTTTAGTCAATGTTACCTCTATATTGTGGTGGAAAAAATCTAACCAGTCACTGAGTTACAGCTGACATATAGGAGAGTAGTTTTCTGTGGACCCCATGTGTTCCAGGCTAGGGGGGTTTGGTGTTTTTTTCCCCCCTTTGTTTTTTTTACTTGTTCAAAGTACAACTCTTAAGAACATCTTCTAATTCTATATATAGGTCACATTGGAGGATTACACTGGTGGCTGTTACTAAATACGGTATGATAAGAGATCAAGGACAGTTAAAAAAAATTGCTGGTTTCATATGTAAAGCCTTATTTTACAATATTATTAGCATTATATCTGCAGCTGTTACTGAGGATACCAAGCCAGCTCTTTTGAAGCATGGTTGCCTGATGCATGCACATGTCTATTGGCCCTCCTTAAGACTTTTAAAAAATATCTTATTGTCCTTACAGAAATATGTACATATGGAATACATACTGAATTCTTTAGAATGTCATAATTTCTGCTATAAGCATACAGCTTTATGGGCATATTGCAAAAGATAAAGACATTTCCAATAGTTCAAACATGTTGAAGTCTGCATTTTGTCTCCAGTGTGGTGGTGGTGGTAGTGATGAAAAAAGTTGTAATCATAGATTTAATAAATGTACTGTGAGGAAATTAACATAAAGACATTTTCTTATCTTCTGGTTTACTAAATTATATCTTCTCAAACTACACAAAATTAATTTTATTTCATAGAGGAGGATTTCTGACCAGGATACTATTTTGAGGAAGAAAGAATTTGCGTGTGTAATTTGTACTGCATTTCTTATCTCTCAGATCTGTTAATAATGCCATTTGTCTTGTGCCTTGGGACATGCCACAAAGGACGAAGCTACCTTTGTATGTGTTCTCCATTGTTTATGCATTCCTCTCACACACTTCTGTGTCCTCATATGGCCCATTAGTCCTTGCTGCTCCCCTTTGCCTAATAAATCATGCCTCTGTCCACTAGTGACACTGGTACTAATGTGAATGCAGTTCTGCTGCTGAGCTGGGTCTTGTAGAACACACTGTAAAAAATGTCAAGTGTTTGACCTGTGACAAAAGCCTAGAGTATTTTATTTGAAAGCACACAAATATTGTTTGAAAGAGGGAGTAAAAAAATGATTAATGTGATGAGTGAAAAACATTCTTATGGATGTTTTTCAATCACAGTACATTCCTTTTCATTGGCTTAAATGCAATCTCAGAATAACATTCCTTATTCTAGCACTTGGTTTCTGTTCTTCTGTGAAATTAGTGGTCTAGTACACACTAAAAAATCTGGCCTCAGTCAGTTACATCAGACCTCAAAATAAAGAATTGTTGTTTAGTGTTTTTCAAGCAAAGAAAAACATCTTTAAGAAGAATTTATTAATGTTTTACAATGGAAAAATCAGCTAAGTTCGAATCAAATATGTGATATCCAGTGGCAACTGAAAGCACAGGAGAAAAATATCACAATAAATAAAAAGTGTGAAGCATTGCTATGGAAACAGTAAATGAGAAGTTATAAAGCAGAGAAGATTGATAAGACCCTGAGGACATCAGAGAGTTGTCTGATAAGTAAGCTGACAGGGATACGGGTTAAGAGGATGGTGTTGCAGCAAACTAAGAATAAAATAATGAGGATGTAAAATCATGAGTAACCTCATTGGCAAAGTAGCAATATTCAAAAAATATGTTAGTATTTCTTTTAGGGAAAAAAGTCCTTTGTATTCAAATCAGAAGAGGCAAAGGATGTACTTCCAAATCTCTTAATAACCAAACGAGGTTTTTCATATCTATTAGGCTCTGATGGTTTATAGCCAATAAAAATGCTTGGAAGACTTCAAAGGCAGTTCAAAATCTCAATCTGGGAATCATTGCTGGGCAGGAAGGTGGCATTTTTAAGTGTTCTGTGAGATCTGGGATGTATCTGGGCAATACTGAGTACTTTTTTCAGTGATATGGAAGAAATTGTAAAATCATTACTGATGTGCGAGTGACACACAAGTATTGAAACAGTAGAAGTATGGCAAGGCAGGGACAGAGAGCTGTTCATATTATTTGATAAGCTGGGCCCATTAAATGAGCAAAGTACCTTTTAAAGTAGCCAAAGTTACTTGTTTAAAAAACTGGAAATGCAGGCCAGAGTTGACTGTGTTGTGGAAAGGAGCAACTCTGGAAAAGATTTAGGGGTCAGTGAATAAACAACTCAGATTGATCTACTGTGATGCTGTTCCACAAAGAGCTAATTCAGTCTTTATGAATATAAACAGGAATGGTAGATGGTAGGAAGAGGTGATTTTACTTCAGAGTGTGGCACTGATGAGGTTAGTACTGAAATACTGGATCTGCTTCTGCTGTCCACATTTTGCAGAGGGCTTTAAAAATGAGATAGCTTGCAGAAGAGGCTGAATATATTAATTTAGGGCTCTTCTTAAAAGAAACTTAAAGATTTAAATATTTTTAAAGGTGCCAAAAAGAATGTTAGTTATATATAAATACCTTCCTAAGAAGAAAGTGCTAGCTATTGAAGACTTTTATTGCAGCGAAGATACTAAAATTAGAAATAAGGTCCATTATTCATAGATGGGAACATCATTTGAACACAACAGCAAGAAAAAGGGGCGCTCTGTCTTTTTTCAGAATATCAAAACTGTAAAACTTTTTAAAGTTTTCCTTCAACTGGTTGCAAACTATTGAACTCAGCATGGGATAAGTGAGGGAATACACTGGCCTGCAAATAGTCAGTCTAGAGAACACTGCTTTCTTGGCTTAAGGGTATGAATATCAAGCAGGTTTTGTTCCTCATGATTTGATAAATCACAAAAGATCAACATTAGCTGTGGACAAAAGCTGTGTAACTGTCCTGAGAATTACAGAAAAAGTATTGTACTTGCACTGTTAAAATGTTCATTCAGGACAGTTCAAAAAGTAAAAGCAAGTATATGGAGAGGTGGCCTGTATATTTATTGTCTTAAAAGAAGAATTTGAATAAGTTCTTCTAAAAAAGATTCAAGCCACTTAATGCTCATTTGACTTAACTTCGGGGATTGTAGTGCCAGCAGAATGGATGAAACATTTTTTTCAGGAAGCGACAGTGTAGTAACGTAGTAATACTCTATACTATAAAAGTATTAAATAGATGCATCAAAGTGTGTGGACATGAGGACTACTCTATAAGGAAGGTAATTCCTGAATGCCAGTAGTTGAAATCTGCAAGTATGTTGTTGCTGCCATTATCAGTACCAGATGATTACCGATTTTG